CTTTGAGAAAAGGAACACGAAAGAACCAACAAAGTTATTAAGACTGGGACTTCTCACTTAACCTAATTTAATAGAGCTGATGACATGTCATGTCATTATACAATTGAAATGAAAATGTTCATTAACCTTTATTAAAGGAACAAAAACCCAAAATATCGATGCACTCCCACTCAGTTCATAAGAGCTTTAATAGCATCATAATAGCATTAACAGATTAAAATACTAATGCTGTTATGAGGATCCTTTCTGCTCTACTTAAGGCTGCATGTTAATTACAGATCTCCTTAAAAACCTGTGTCGACTTTGTGCTTTTAAACACTACACATTAACATCCAGATGATTCCAGTTCATAATAGTAATTCTGTTTGTATAATTGAATATGTAAAAGGAAAAAGGAACAAAGAGAAAAAGAGAAAAGATAAACTTCAGCATCTGAATAAAAATATCTGGTGACTGCTAGGGCTGAAACATCCCACCAATCTTTGCAGGGATTTAGCAGTCTGGGAATACAACACCAGGCTAAATGACTGAAGATTTGCTGTGTCATATATATAGACCCACACCACTGCTATGGCACCGAGTGAAGAGAGAGTGAAAATGAGTACAGGAGGCTTTTAATCATTGCCATAAATTCAATGTCAGGGGACAAAACGATCACACTGATCACAGAAATGTGCACAGGAGACAGTTGTGGAAAGATGTAATACTTTTTAAAACACAAATGGGCCTATCCAGAGTCAGTGTTTGATGTGTCTATTCTGGGCTACTGTAGAAACATGGCAGTTCAACACGTCTGTAGATATACTCATTTTTCAGTTGAATATACACTAATGAAAACATATGAATATTATATTCCATTGAGTGGCAGTAGATCCTACTGTGTGTGCAACAGGGTGATTTGAAACTCCAATCTGATTATCTTCGAATAAATTAAAGAAAAACAAATAATGAAGAAGAAACTATGGAAAAGATGATTGTTGTGTTTACTTGTCTGAAGATACTTTTAATAGGAAGACAGCTGATTGTCTAACAGAGGATAGTTGCTTTAAGAAGCTCCTGCTCATTAATTCACAATACATTCATCCTTCCATACATCCATAGATCGATGCATGCCTGTTTTTATTCCTTAATTCTTTAAAGAGTCATATCCCAGCATGCATTCGGACAGACAAGCTGGGAAACATCCTACCTATATTAGAAGAATTTAAAGTAAAAGTAATTGCAATGGCCAAAAAACCTTTTTACTGGTTCTCAAAGTTCAAATTTGTGACCACAGGCTATAATAAATTCAATTATAATGCCAAATCATAACGGATGTTATCTCAGGGTACTTTTCATATTTTAGAATAAAGCAGGTCTGGACCATACTCTTTATATAATTAATTATTACAGTCATGCTGTCATCATTTGAGTTTCATTATGTGATTTTGACGATTATTGGAGCAAGCTGAAGCAGCAATTTGAGACAATGTGAGGCTAAGTTTTAGTGTTACTTACAAATTTAACTTTTACTGTGAGTAATTCTAATGGTTGGCAACTGGTACTTTTGCAGCCCTGCACTCACCCTTATCTCAGGACATTCACAAGCAACACAGGCCAGTACTTCCTTATTTAATTAAATAGTTTGTTGACCAAGACTGTCAGCAGAAAAATAAAGCCATTTTCACTGCTATAGCTACATGTTCAATCTGGAACTTAACATGCACATACTTAACTAAGACAAGATAACTTTATTCCAAAATTTAAGATAGCAAAGAAAAAGAAAAAACCTTGGTATACAGAGGTGGTACTTCTAACTCTACTAATGTGGATATACAGTATTTGTTTTATGTGAATATTGCTGCTTGTTAAAGCAATATGACCTTTTGGTAAATATGCTTATTCACTTCACACCAAGAGTTAGATGAAAATACATGTGCATTAAATATAAAGCTACAGCCAGCAGCTTGTTAGCTTAGCACAAACAGTATATTTTAAGTGTTAAAACTATATGTTAATGTTTTCACAGGGTCTTATGTGTGGAATTATTCCTTGTCTGGAAGCATAAAGGCTCTCTTGATCGAAAAATTGTGTGGCACATAACCCACTCAAAACCTTTTTTAACAGATTAAACAAAAGATATGGTGCGTTAATCTTTGGGTTTTACAGATGCTGGTAGGTGGATTTTGTTACCATTGGACACAACCAGGCCTGCTCTTTCCTTGTTTCCAGTATTTGTGCTATATTAAACTAAACGGCTGCTAGCTGTAGCCATATACTGAATGGACGTAATTATACACTGTAAGGGTGGTAACTATCTTCTCACCTAACGCTCAGCATGAAAGGAATAAGAGTATTTCCCAGAATGTCAAAGTACTCCTTTTTTGCAGGTAATGTAGTCTCAAATCGAGGGTGTGGTCGTCAGACAAACTCCTGCTGTACACTTGCTAAGCTGCAAGTATACCCTATTCCCACAGTGGGACCCCAAAATGATTCTGTCCCTCTTCATCAGTTCTAATTGCCCATTTGAGACCTTTATTATGACGCTGCACGTTCTTTAAAGTCAGTTGCTGGGATCCATTTCGACCTGTTTGACAGTTTGCAGTGCAGTGAAGTTCTTCCAGAGGATCATATTGGATCTTGGATGACCCAGAGAAATTCCAGTCCAATTGGTTGCTGTGGCATTAATGATTAACAGTCCGCTAGTGATGATGGGGTCTGCCTGGCTTGACCTTTCCACATGGCTGTATTTGCAGCAGAAGTAAGCACCAGGCTTTAGCATCACGATAGCCTTGCAGTGCCTAGACAGCTGCACCTTTATCCCTTGGCCTTAGCAACTGAGTTGGAGGCCTCGATCCAGAGCACAGGGTTGGGGGGGGGATAACTGTGTGCCAGCTGAACACAGGCAAGAGGCAATGGCTGAGGGCTGGGGGGCAAGGACCGAGGGCATGTTAGTTGGGCATAAAACAGACCGAGTCTTGAAGTATTAATTAGACCACATGTCTGTAGTTAAGTGATCTTAAATGAATGTTTCTCATACCTGGGTTAAATACTTAAGTAGGCTTAATATGGTAACCTAATGTATACATAAGCAATATAAGAGGAAGATGTTGAACATATGTCTATGTCTTATGTATGTGCTCAAGTATTATGAAGGAAATCCCTCTAGTTTTTTCCTAAAAGTCAATTGGATGCATGAATGAAAAGATGCCACATGTCTGTGAGGCAGAGTAATCAAATTAAATCTTTTTCCAGTTTTGTCTAGTCTCTGAGGAAATGTCATCTGACTTCAATTTTGCCTCCTAAACCAAACAACACAGATTCCTGTTTGTCCTAGCTTCCCGTTCAAACATGTTTAGATTGCTATCATGGCAGCATTGCCAAGCTAAATTCATTAAACAGAAATTTAAATTGGTCAGTTTCAAATGGTATTTTAAGAGCAGTGAAAAAAATCTCCTTTCCAAACAAACACTTATTAAATAAGACTAAGAATCTACACGCTAGCTAGCTAGCTACTTCAACACAGCGGTGCTTTAAGCTAAATGCGAATGTCAACATACTACAATGACAATGTTAACATGCTGATTTTAGCACGAATACCATGTTCACCATCTTAGTTAGCATGTTAGCATGCTACCATGTGTGTAATAGCCCTAAACACAAAGTACAGCTGAGGCTCAGAGGAATTATTATTATTATTCTTTTTTAAGGTATTTCTTCATAAAGCCAAGTATTTGAAAAATGTATATGTTGGCCTGACGATAATATTAGATAAAAAAAATTAAGGTATCACCAATATTCTTACCAATCATCCCGAGGGAAAAATTCATGTGTGTATTTCAGATTCATAATACAATCAATAGTTGTTGAGACATTTCACTTAAAGAGAGAAAGTGTACAAAAAGTCTGCCTTCCCTCTAAAAGTCGAGATATTTCAGTCTGTTACAAAGTGGTAGACTGACCGGTAGCAGTGCTGAAAAAGTGCTCTTTTTAGCCATAATACACACACATACAAACACAAATATATGCATACACATACTGTGTGTATGTGTGTACAAACACAACACTTTGTGGCACACCAATCTCTTTATGGCAGTCTACAAATAGAGCACTTGAATCCAGTGACGCATTTTCTCACTGGAGAGTGTCCAGGGACCACCAGGTTAGGAAAACCTGCAGCAGACAGAGAGAGAGAGAGAGAGAGAGAGAGAGAGAGAGAGAGAGAGAGAGAGAGAGAGAATTTGAAAGAGTATGGGGCTGATGGAGGGTGGTGTAGCAGCGTGAACAAGAGAGTGTGGGGTTGCAAAAAATAGTGCTAAAGTTTTCTTAGAAACTGTGTGGGTGTCTGTCATTACCAGGCCTGGATACTGTACCCAACACATTGGGAGGTTTGGGATTGAATGTGTATTCCCCTGTGAGGAAAAATATAGAGGTAGAGACAGATGGGACGTATTTAGGGACAAATCTCACAGGACAACCATCTTTGACATTTGACCCTTGGCATCAAAGGCCATAGGAGAGAAAATATTGTGGCATTATGTAACAGCATGCATATATGTGTGTGTGTGTGTGTGTGTCAATATTATGATAATGATACCCACAGATATCCATGAAGTAAAGAAGACAGTAATTGAGAAGAATGGCTTGCTGTCTTCCAGAAAACGGGATAGGGAGGGATGATATACTAGTCATATGATAAGGCTGTCGTGGGGAGAAACGAAAATATTAGAAGGATGAAGTAAAATTAAAATGAGTGAGTGAATCACAGGTGGGTATGTGAGAGAGTGAACAACTGAGTGACCTTAAAAGGCCACGCGGTCTCACTGGTGACTGAATGAGCAAGTGAAAGGGGGCCTTGGGGTTATCTCTGTGAAGCGCCGCTGTATTTATAGATCATCTCAAAAAAGATTCCCTGCGCCCCCCTCCATTCAGTTGCCCCTCCCCCGTTTTCAATTAGCCCCTGATGGGTGGAGTAATGCAATCAGGAGTAACTACAGCTCACCCGCAGCCTCCTCTCTCAGTCTGCCCCAGACTCCGCACAGGCACACACTCCTCAGATAGGAAGGTAAGACCCAACTCTGTTCAGCTGCTCCACTATCCATCCATTCACTCGTCCATCTTTCCACCCATTTGTCCTTTCACTGGTCTTCATTCACCATGCCTCCATTCTCCGGGACACAGCTGCTCACTGTGCTCCAGCATCCTCCTACCTGCCTCCTCCCCACCTGCCTGCTCATGTTCTCCTTCTTTCCACCTGCACAGTACCCTCACTATTTAACCGCCTCCTCTCTCTCTCTCTCTCTCTCTCTCTCTCTCCCAACTTTCTGTCCTCCTGTCTGTCTCAGAGACAGCCTGACTTCCTCTTTTATTAAATAGTTTTATCAGGCTATCTATTTTTGTCCAAGAAAATGACAACCCAGAGCTCTTTTCCCTTCCCTTCAGCAAAACTGTCTTGATAAAGGTGTATGCTCCTCACTTACACGATAGTGACTCCCGTTTTGGCAAACTGATCTGTTCTTTTGCTTTTTTTTGTGGTTTTTCGGCATTTGATGCACAACATTTCGGGGTGATGAAAGTGCTGAAAAGGTACCTGCTAACACAAAACAACAAAAGGTTGAAAGGTTCTTGAGGAGATCTCTACTTAGTGGAGCAATATGGTATAAAATATAGTACATATACAGTACAGCTTGATGGAAGGAGTCAGGTTGAATTGCAAACTATTTTATTGTATTTACTTTGAGTATTAACTGTAAGTCAAGGTTTAATAGGAACATTTAAAGGAACATTCTCAAATTACAGCTTAATTTGATTTAACATTTTATTCCATTATCCACTTACTCTTCTATTATTAGCATCTTTGGTTCAAACGTATTTAACTGACCAAGAATTCTTCCAGACATGTGTAGAAAATGAATGTGAGAAAGCTGTTCAGAGGTCTAACTGTCAGAGAAAGTACTTGTTTATGATTTCATTCCTGTAGATGGTTGTATGGTATGCATCTTTCTGGAAGTATAGGAATAAAGAGTTGTAGATTGTACAGTAAGATTTCTTGGGCCATATAAGGCATTTCAATTCATGATGATAGAATTGCTATCAAGAATTCCTTAAAGAACTAGAAAATAACTGTATTTTTAAACAAAACAACCACATTTATATCTAAATGTACATATAGTTGATCGTCTGGCTGCAAATAGTGCCTTTAAGCACTGGAACTTTCTGGGGATAGACCAGGCTGCAAACACTTGCCCTCCAACTGGCGGTAGATCAGTTTGGCATCAAGCGATTTGCACTGAGAGACTCCCAGATGGGCAGCATCAAAGAGACCCCAGAAGCTGGGAAACAGCTGAATGACATGTCTGAATAGCTGAAGGTTTTATTTGTGGCAGTTCAGATTGTCCTTTTTTTATTTTTAGGAGTCAGATAAATCCTTATATAAGCTAGGTGAGTCATGGTGGGAGCAACAGACAATGAGGGAATGTGGGAGGGGTTGAGAATAACTCGGAGCAGAAAGGACAGGCAGATTAAACGTCTCAGCCAGATAAAAGATACAAACCCTCTTGAATGTTGGGAACATCACAAATCACTCACAGATCTCATGTTGGACCACTGAGGTGGGAATAGACGGTGATCACAAATAGATAAAGGGGAAGAAGCATCTGACAGTCCAAGCACAATAAAGCAGCAGGATCAAAGGAATAACAACAGAGGAGGAGAGCGGCTCAATTAAAAACTAAATTGCAAGAAATTAAGAAAAGCTGCAAAAAATGTAACAGTGGATGAGGAGGGAATATAAAATGAGGAATTAAGTTTGAGTTTGAGTTTTGAGTTTGAGTTTTCTAGCTTTTTTTTCTAAGCTCCTCCTATGGGTTTTGCTGCAGAATCAATGGACATATAGACACATGAATACCGTAGTAAAGCATGTGTGTGAGTGACCCTGTATGCACTGGGACACTGGACAACTGCATTTTACGTTACCTTTTTTTTTCTCATATCTTAAATACCACTCACAAAGACACACATACTGTATACTCAAATATATAGCCTACACTATCCTTGGTCAACAGAGAGTAAGAGTATTTAAGTACAGGTGGGATAGCCAGAGGGCTTAACAGGCGGGCCACAAACAGCTGCAGATTGTGAGTAGCCATTATTACGAGTGCCATTCAAACCCACTTATACACTGACACACACACACTCTCACTCACGTACACACATGCAAGATGACAAGGGATACTGTGATCTGGTGCTGACAGCTGGATGTGAGGTGACGGATGGGTCAGTGTATAGTGGCATGGTGAGCGTTGGTATGCAACGGGGCAAAAGTTGACTGTCTCTAAGCAGGACTGATAGGAGTTATTTATATCCTCCTCATCTGTCACCTTCTACTTCTGACACCGAGAACCAAATTAAGGACTGCTGAGAGATGGTAGAGAGAGATGAAAGTGGAAAAATGCAGCATGGAAAAACCCTGTAATGTGAAGGATCTTGATAGTGAATGTCTCCTAGATTAGATTCATTGGTTGGAATGTATGATTTCTAATAAACTGCTCTCTGCTGACTGTGACAGCAAACATGTATTTAAACTGTGCAGCAAAAAGACAAAACTGTCTACCAAACTTAATGTTATTTAGGTGATAAGATGTCGAAAAATCTTCCAGGGGAAATTAATCAGATGTGGTAGTCTAACTCAGCTTCCAACCTCTGTTTGCAGAAAGTCACAATGTTCTGACAGAATACTTTCTCTGCTCTCACTTTCTGCGTCTCTTTGTCTTTCCCTCTCTCTCAGGTGAGTGACCCTGGGTCAAAATGACCGAGCGCTACGACTGCCACTACTGCAAGGAGTCCCTGTTTGGGAAGAAGTATGTTCTGAGAGAGGAGAATCCCTACTGTGTGAAATGTTACGAGAGCCTGTACTCCAACACCTGTGAGGAGTGCAAGAAGCCCATTGGCTGCAACACCAGGGTAAGAGATGTCACAAAAACACATTGTACACATGAGCCCTAACGTCCTCTTCCTGTGGGTTTCTGTCTTGAACTATAAGTGTCATCAGCTCTAACCGTCCATCTGCTGTTCTTGTAGGATCTGTCCTACAAGGACCGTCACTGGCACGAGGACTGTTTCAAGTGCTTCCAGTGCAAGCGCTCGCTGGTGGACAAGCCCTTCTCCACCAAGGATGAACAACTCCTCTGCACTGAGTGCTACTCAAATGAGTATTCCTCCAAGTGCCATGAGTGCAAGAAAACCATCATGCCAGGTAAGAATACAGCAACAAAAAGAGCAACATTCTTAGGTGTTGCCAATATCAGATAGCAAATGTAAATGGTCTACACATGGCTGTCTTAAAACTAAATGTTGTCAAATGTGTCTATTATATTAAAGGCACAATAAACCAGTGTAATTATGTTAGGGTAGATGTGCACAGGAGTCAGTCAGAACATATAGCACCATGTTAATATACAGTTATAGGGGGTTGTGACTACAAAGACCCTTCCTCGGAACAATATTGAGGGACCCATATGGCCTTAAGTTTCAGAAAATTCCTAATATTTATGTAGAAGAACGATTAAGCTCAAGTTTTTTTCCATAATGTGGACCAATTGCTCTAAATATAAATCATTCCCACAAACAAGACCAACATGGATAATTAAATGTATAGCCTATTGTTTCTTGACTCTACAACACTCTTTTTCTGTTTTTCTAATCCCGTTTTATTGGTTCTCTTTGCATCCCTTTACTAACTCCATCCATTCCTTTCCTTTATTTTTGTCTCTGAAGGCTCCAGGAAAATGGAGCACAAGGGGAACAGTTGGCACGAGACCTGTTTCACCTGTCAAAGATGCCAGCAGCCCATTGGCACCAAGAGCTTCATCCCTAAGGACAACCACAACTTCTGTGTGCCCTGCTACGAGAAGCAGTTTGCCATGCAGTGTGTGCACTGCAAGAAGGTAGGAAACTGTACCTGCTGTACAAACTCTCCAGTGAAACTGATTTTCAAAGTAGCACTCAATCATTCTCCATCTTCTCTCAAAGAACGATGATTACACCTGTGTGTGACAATATATCATTCTTGTTCCGTCTTATCAGCCCATCACCACTGGCGGGGTGACCTACCATGACCAGCCCTGGCACAAGGACTGCTTCCTGTGCACTAGCTGCAAGCAGCAGCTGTCTGGTCAGAGGTTTACCTCTAGAGATGACTTTGCCTATTGTCTCAACTGCTTCTGCAACCTTTATGCCAAGAAGTGTGCCTCCTGCACCACCCCCATTAGTGGTAATGATAATTTATTAATTTATTAGTCTCCCTGCAAAGTAAAAAGGATTGTTTATAAAATCTCTATCAGTTGTTTTGACTTTGACTTGTTCTTCACTTTCAGGCCTTGGAGGCAGCAAGTATATTTCCTTTGAGGAGCGCCAGTGGCACAATGACTGCTTCAACTGTAAGAAGTGCTCCGTGTCCCTGGTCGGCCGTGGCTTCCTCACTGAGCGTGATGATATCCTGTGCCCAGAGTGCGGCAAGGACATCTAACTCAACGTTATGATAGAGGAAAGACAGAGATACAATCAGTACTATCAGAGCACAGCATCTTCACTACCAAGCATTACTATGAATGTACATTGTTGTATGCAAATACAAACTACTAACAGTGTTTTTTGAATTTAAGTTAAATGTTCACTCTTTGAGAAAAGTAATTACTAATAAAATATAAATGTTGGCATGAATGTAAAGAGAATTATGAAACAGCAAAATGTTTGCAGATATACACTGTATGAAGCATTTTTAAATAAATCTACAATAGTAATGTAGACTATCACCTTTGAAGTGTAATAATTACTGCTTTGTGCATGGATTAGCTTGGTGCTGTAATCAGAGGTTTTGTGAATGAGTTCTGCTTCCAATAAAATATATCAAAATTGTGTCTTGAATCTTATAATTATTATATTATGAATTCATACAAAACAGAGGGTCAAAATGTTTCTATTGGCAAGTTTTAAGCAGAAAATGCACACACATTTAATACTTACTGCAGACTTTATGATGAATTTAGATTTCCTTTATTAAATATAATACTAAATATTAGTTTAAGAGTTCATCAAGTTATAATACTGGCATATAAAACAAAAGGTCAAAAAGCTGCTGACTTTTCTACTGTAACTAAATCAACAAAGGTGATTCATTGTATGAAGACAATTTATTTTAAAAAACTGTTGGTACAAACATGACAATGGATTCAAAATACTTTGTGAATCTTGTTCCTGTGTGTTTTTGATTAACTCTGCATCCATTTCAAAGACAGTAACTGGAAGTCAATTAAACAATTCTAAATAAATATACTTCAAAAAGTCCACATTCCTTCCTTAGTTATTAAAGGGTGATATTCAAATATCGGCTTCCTTTGTGTCAAAATGGTCATTTAGTAGTCTATTATGATCCAGCTGTAAAGGAAAACCGTTTCATCTTCATGTTATGTGCAACATATGCACAATATCACATTACACTGATATTTAAAAACCCTGAAAAACTCGTGAAACAGCACTGAGGATTGACTAAACCTCAGTGAAATGGAGCTCATGGAGAACAAAAATGACATCCACTACCAGTTCAGAAATTAAACAAGGTTCAACACGATCTATGGTTTCTATTCTTTTAAAAAAGGTACACCAAAGTATTATTATTTTTAAATATTTAATGTTATTTGCCTCATAACTTGTTCTTAATGCCTTTTAAATATGCCCATCATTCTGAAAGTCACAATCTCTATGAAAGTCTTCAGTGTTTGTTTCAAAACCTTTCAAACCAGCACCAGAGGCCCTCTTTACTAAAACTCATCATTTCCTTAAATGGTATTTCAGAGCTAAAGCTGTGTTGATGTTTTTTCCTCTAGAAGATCTCCATCTGTGTGGGACATGAGTAAAGTTGCTGATCTTTGATGGTAAGGGCACTTGAGGTTGTGGAGAGCGACAAGGAAGCTTGTGACTTCAAAAGCAGGATGACCTCCGCATCCTGTCAGCTGTAACACCTGAACGAGAGCTGTGAGGTGGCCTCGACAAACAGGTATCATCCCTTTTGTGATGCAATTAGTGGGATAACTATGATGGGTAGAGCACAGGCAGTGAGGACAACAACATCTGGTGGGAGGAGAGTGGTCTATCCTTCAGAGCTTGAGTTCCCACCAGGTCTGTGTGAACAGGGGTCAGAGGTCAGGGCCATGTCACATGCTGGATCTTTTTCTTCACCTCTGGAGACTTCACTGTATCCTGAAGAGATGGAAGACGAAACAGCAGGTGTTAGTGTAGTGAAAAAGTTAGATCTGCACACCGCTAGATGCCACTAAATCCTACACACTGAGGCTTCTCTTGATATTTTCATTATTTGCCTTAAATGATTTCCACACCAATTATGATACAATTAAATACATGGAAACACAGAACTGTAGTCATAACTGTGCACATCTCCCTTGAATCGCACACATTTATGTGTAATTCATAACCGAGTTGACAGAATACAAAGTTCCTACCGAGCTGTTTGCCTCTCGTTTAAGGTTTGCTGTGTCAGAGCTGTGTTGAACGGATGAAGAAGAGGAAGATGAGTTTCCAGATAGCTTGCGGATGGGGTTGGACAGGTTTGCAGCAGGGGGAGGTTTTAACCTGTCAGTGACTCCTGTTGACACGGTGGTTCCCTCTGGTTTTTTTACTTTTAGTGTACCCGAGTGAGACGAACTGCCATCAAACACAATCAGAGGCCTTTTCCTATTGTGGTCATTACTGGAACTGGAAATGAAGAAACAACAGTGAACACAATAATCAGTTGTTTACACTCAAACACATTAAACACATGTTGATAGTGAGGGCTCTGGTTGAGCAGGTGCACAAGGAGAAGCGCTACTCTGTGTTGGCACACTGAGACTATTCCCTCGCCTGTACCGGTTTGGTATTTTGGTGACTCGCCTCACATTGCAGTTGAAGGAGGGACACAGTAGGCGGTGTGCCACACTAAAGTCTTGGCACCAAGACTTTAGTGTGGCACACCGCCTACTGTGTTTCGTGCCATCTGCTTGGAGCAGGTCAACATTGCTGCTGTGCTCTGATTGTGTCAACTGAATTGGTGACGGCACATCAACCTCTCACAAATCACACAAACACCTTCAGTCGTGATCACTAATGTGATCACTCGGAAATAATTGTTTTCTAATTATAGCAACAATGCCTGTGAGGCAGAATAAAGAGCAATGACATCATCCACACAGTTAGTATCTGATGCTGAAGGCGTTTCCTTTCCAGCAGCACCTCTTTATTACAGCTATCTGACTACACACATCACATTCACTGGTTTAACTTTAGGTAGATGTGTGACTTATTGACCAACATGATGTGACAGAATATCGTATATTTCGAAAGCTTGTAGCTGAAAATATGATTCTGTATTATTATAAATTAAACTACTCAAAGGATTGTACAAATAGAGTTCAAATGATTAGTCAATTGTTAAATTTAACTGGCAACTACTTTGATAATAATAATTATACAGTTATGTGCTAATAGAATTTATTATCGTGAATTGTTTTTGTTTACTTACTTTAGTTTTGAGGTCTGTTGGTTGGACAGAACAATCATTGTGTCACTTTCTTTCACTGTTTTTTTTTTATTTTTAACAAATCAAAACAATCAATTGATTCTTGGAGAAAATAATAATAATAATGAAAATAATGATTACTTTACAGAGTTTAACAGTGTATTTTTACAGTTTGGTATTAGAATTTAATTTTATTAAGTAAACGATGTGAATACTTCCTCCACCACTGATCACCAGTCTGCTCTCACTTGCTGGACGTATTGTAATGTTTGACTATGAGAGGTTGGGCTTCTGGTACATAGTGTGGGTGCTGGGGTCACACTGGATCAATAGAAACACAGTATTGTCCATCTTGAAACCTTCTAGTTAGCGTTAGATAGCTGGTCGATAACGAAGCTCCAAAGCTCGTTTCACTCCTGTGAATCTTCAGTATACTGTGTTGGAGCTCGTGTCAGATGAACACCCCATGACTGATGACGTCCAAAGCTTCCAACATCACTGCTGCTTCAGAAAGAGCTTCATTCAGTTTAAAGTTTGGCAGCTAAACTACGGAGAAAATTAGCGGGATAAGGAGAGAGCTGAATACTTTAGAAATATGGCACTGCACACTAAAATTATATAATCCTAACTATGGGAACAGCTCCACATAATACCAAGCAATAATAAAATACACGGAATTGGTTAATTTAGCGGATATCACATTGTGACTCATATGAAAATAAAGTAATTAACCATGACTAAGTTCAACCAAGTTGAAACACATGACCCCGCAGAGGCACCAGGCCTAAACTACCCCAACAAGGTACAATCATACTTCCTGCTATACCTCTGCTTTCTGGGCAGTGCATTCATTTATTAACTTACTGTAACACTGACATGAGACCAACACCATTAAACTCTGAATTCTTCAGCTCCAGTCTTGAAGAGCTTCTGCACACACACAAGATGTCACCGTGTTGCTGAGTTTAAAGTACAAACACTTGATTTTTCAGCACAAACAGACAGAAAAAGGCCCAAAGCCTGATCCGCAGTTACTGTCTGACCTGTGCCCAGCCGGGGTCTGCCTCCCCCGGCTCCTCTCCATCCTCCTCCCCCAGCGGCTGTTGGGTAAACTCCTCTGCGGCAGCGGGATCACATGCCGGAGGTAGAGCTCCGTGAGCCGGTCCCGACTCTGGCAGTCTCTGGTACTGACATTTTTCTGATTGAGACAGAGAGAACAGTTAGCTCCAGATGTTCAACATCAGTCAACGCTGCTAATGATTAGCCGGTATGCTAACATTACACATCCTTCCTCCTTTATCTCTCCGCGTTAAAAAGACTCTTTTAGACGTTTCTCTCCAAACAGTAACTCACCTCACTTAATATGAGTCGCATGAACTCTTGAGACAACAGCTCAGGGTGCAGCAATAGATCCACATTAGAGATATTCACAGCTTTCCCATCCTGCCCCGTGGAGGTCGCCATATTGGATGCTCGTCTATTCCCGACGTGCACCGCGTCATAACAACCCAGCATGCCGGGTCATGTCTCTGAAACACTATTGATGACTGCTCGTTTCTTTTTATATATCTATAGTAAAATATCCATCTAGTCGTTTTTTATCAGGATTAAAGTGCTGCAGTCTTGTTTCCTCCAGAGATGAGTTTTTCTGATCGTTTTAGGGAACTTTTAATTTACGTATTATACATATTTAATAGGCTGAACAGCTGAGTTACAGGCCTACTTGTGTATATTTTTTAAGTTTAAAATCAAAAGGTTTCGCAACCCCCTATCACCCCTAGTGGGGGTCCCGGCCCCCAGGTTGGGAACCGCTGTATTAGCCTATTTGTTAAATGTTGTTTTTAAGAATAGACTCGTTCTATGCAGCTTGCAACTAATGCTGGAATGGTTTTTAGCTGCTTACTTTTATTCAGGTAGGCCACACTTGTATCCCTGTAAAGTGCTGCACAAACCCATTTAATTTAAAGCAGTTTGAAAAATAATCTTTATTATGGAAATGCCTTAACAAAAGAAAATTAGCAAATAAATGTTTAAGAAATTGTTAATAACCGCACATTTACTTATTTGTTTTACTTCATGAATGTTATTCATTCAACCGAATCTAGTTGATGTATTGCACAGTTCAGTATAGGTAATGTGTTATGGACAGTATAACATTTTGCAGGCTGACCCACTTTGTCTAAAATACATTTAAAATGTTAATATATGTTAAAACATTTTTAGAAGAACGTGTGAGCGTAAAGTAAAAATTAAATGCCATCTGCAGGTTAAAACCTGGCCCTGCCGGGTAAACTGAAGCTAACAGAGAACCAGGTCACGTTTCTTGCCGGCTCCTGGTGAGTACAGTTATTTGTTACAGACAAGAATGATGGACACAAATATGAAAATAAGAACCAAGCATAATTATCCTGTGAGATCATGCTAGGTTGATGTTTTCCGTTTTTTAAACAAAAAGACTTTTGTGATAGTTCTGTCTTAATTGGAGCCGTGCTTCAGCAGTTAAGAAATTTCCTCAACAATCAAGCAACTATAAAAAATATAGAGGTCCCTAAGTTTGCTTTTTTTTTCAATCAATCATGTGTCTCGATCCTATGTCTCAATCATGTCCCGTTAGTGACTGTAAACAGGAAGTTTACAGTCATGTGCTGATTTAGCCACTGGTCCTACTGGTGGGCATTGCCACCTCATGGAGATAAATAGCTGTATTATTCATCACCACTTTAACACCTCTACACCATTAAAATCTTTATAAGAGGCCTTTCAGGTGGATGGCAAAACATCTTCAATCAGAAGTCCAAACTTTCAGTTGGCCCCAAAACATGGAGGCGTTATCTTACAGGTAGCATGCATGAGCTTCTCTGCACGAGCTGGCTGCCAAACACTGAATCTGTATCCTTCTCATAGGAGAGAACTGAAAACACATTGTTTATTAAATAATAATATCAACAGCTAATTTAGAGTTTACAGTCCTAGAATCATGTATTCACACCTGTAAATCAATGTAACTCAGCTGTGGGACATCAGGCACACGTTCTGAGTTTCCAAATCCATGTTCAAGTGTTTTTAAAACAATACCATGTCCCTGAGCTTAAACTGGTTGACCCTGTTGATTGCAGCATCGGAAGAGTTTATGTTGCAGCCCAGATCGGAGCAAACATCTTGTGCTGTTCTTGTGCGCTTTACGTACCTATGTGGTTACTGTAAATGACATGGAATGGTTAGACCCCTTTCTAAATGGAGTGATTAAGTTAGGACAGTAACGTGATGTAGAAGCAACCATGAGATCTAAATTAAAAACAGAGAGACCATGCATTGGTTCCCACATGTTGGCACATGATGCATAGGACCTAAGTTCATGTTTTATAGTGTTTGCCATGATTCTTCAGCCTCTTTGTTTAAGCTTTGTGACACAGAAAATTTAAATATTTATATACATAAACATACATTGTAAAAATACTTTGCCCTAATAATTTGCCCTTTTGACAGCAATTCAATTATTATTAAAATGCATCATTACGTGTGGAAGAAAACATTTACTTTAGCCTCTGCAATAGGAAAGTAATTCTCAGTAGTTTTCTTCTACTTCGTAGTTTCCCTTTAAATGAAGTGTGTACATGTAATGTTCATATGTGTGGATGAAAACGGCTTCCTTTCTGACCTAACACATTAAAGATTCAACAATAAGTGACTTACATGTACTGTAAATTACAGCAGCTTTTCATGTTTCTTTCCCTGTGGTTCAAGAGTTCAGAAGTTAGAAAAAATTTTAGTACACAGCAAATTATTAAATTTAATGATTTAAATCTTCCCCCGGATCATGTGAGATTGAGTGGTAAGTTCTAGCTGCAGTGTTTTAAAACGTTTATATGACTATTAGAGCTGAAATGATTGCATGATTTGATCAGCAGCCATTTTTCAAGCAATAACTCCAAACATTATAATTTTCATGCATCTCAGCAATAAAGATTTGTTGCTGTTTTTGTCTTATGTGATAGTAAATCCTAAATCTTTGGCTTTGGGACTGTTGGTCCAACAATCAGGGCTTTAGTACATTTTAGATGGGCATTTTTTATCAATTGGGATTGGGGAAAATAGCCACATAAAGCTATTAATTGAACAAGCTCTGTTAATCAACATAAACAAAAACTAAGACCACATTTCCCATCCACCCCATGTTACTGTTACTAGAGTTCATCAACCTATAGCTGCAGACTTGTAAATCACAGCCAGCATCTCTGATTCGTTCTGCGGTTCAGATAAAGTCAGATAATTAAGTAGGAAACGGAGCTAACCTAATATGCAATGATAGAACAGCACCATCTTCCTGTTTTGTGCTGTAGGGAAATACAACCTCTATTTGGCTGGCTGAGGCTGCACGTGTTATTGATGATGGGCTTGCAGCTATATATCATTAATACAAATATCTCAAAATGAATGCAGTAATAATTTATCAATATCATAATGCCACACATATTTAAAATGCTACACACAGTTCTTCCACTTCATTTGTCCATTCAGCATTAGCGTTACAATTGTTGTGGGATTACATAATCTGATTCAATACACAAACTGCTGTGGGTGTTGTCTTTAGTGAAGTATATACATATATATGTATATGTATATCCACTCACAGTGAATAGATGTCTTTGGTATCCCAGCAACCCGAAACGATTTCCATTATGTACCGATGTGGTTTATTTACATTGTAAAAGCAGCTGGCTAGAAAGGGTTTTTCATCGGAGCACTTCAGTTTGTCAATGCACCCTCCTTTAAAAACTATATTTATTTACCTGGTTTGGTTATCGTGACACAATAATACAATCAAGTAAACATTCACAGCTCGATAACTGACACACCTCTTTGTTAACACACTCAGGGTTTAAAATAACAGTTTCAACTTACGTAAGATTGTCCTCATTAAAAATCTGTTTTTACAGACTTCCCTCTGAGAACATCAATGAACATTAATACCGTGTTTGCATTTTTTGTGAAACTCATCACATAACTGACAATAGAAGTATTATCACCACTACCACTCAAAGACTGAAGATTGAGTCTGTCTGAAGAAACAGTGACACAGATGAAACACTTCAGGGACAAATGATGAAACAGAGAAGAAAATGGACAATAGAGGATATGACGTTGTTTGAATTAGTTTCAAAAACCATAATGTCCATGAAGTCAAATCAACCAGTATATCTTGAGACTGAAAGTTCTTTGTTGATCTTGGATGCAGCAGCCAAAATAATCTCACCACAAGGTCCATTCGGTAGCTATTCTGTCAATGTTCAAATCTTCTCAACCATGTTGGCTTAAAAGTTGAGATTTAAAGTTTATTCTTGTGGTGAAATTATTTTGTCAACAGCCAGTATATTCTTTTAAGATTAACTTTAGTAGCCTCTTATAGCTTATTATGAGGAAAAGTAAGAGTTAAAAACAGCTGATAGCAAACTGGTCTTCCATGTTTTACACAGCTGACTGGGTCTCGCTGCACACATAGATGTTGCTGGGCCTCACTCTCCTGCGGCTCCTGCCCGGCACTCTGGGACACAGTCTGCAGCTCTTGGGAATGAACTCCTGACAGGCCTCCCTGAACTTTCTGATCCTCCAGCAGTAGATGACAGGGTTGAAGACCGTCTTCAGGTAGCTGAGCCACAGAGCACCTATGCTGACTGGGTAGAAGACCGAGCTGTAGTAGAACTGCCGGCTGAACACGGCCAGCAAGCTGACCACCGTGTGCGGCAACCAGCACACGGAGAAGCCGACAAAGAGGATGAGGATGGTGGTGAAGGCTCTGGTCTTGAAGCTCATGTCCACCTTGATCTGAGGGGGCCGCTGCAGCCCGGTAAGTCTCATTTTGCTGACTTGGTTGAGGGCTGGCAGGCAGGAATGCTCACTGGTGTGGTTGTGGATGCGCAGGGTGTTGCGGCGCACCGTGTTGAGGATGCACATGTACGAGTACAGCATGACAGCAAATGGCACAAAGAATACTGCTACTGCCAACAGCACTGTGTAGCCGCGGTCTGCCAGAGAGTCACTGTATCCCAGCACGCACTGCGGCGCCCAGGCACCCCCAATACCTGCCGCACCTGTCCTCCACCCAACTACAGATGGTAGAGACACGCACAGGCTCAGCACCCACGAACCTGCAATCAACAGTTTAGCTCTGTGTGGGGTCAACTTGTCCTGCCGCTGCACAATGATGAGAAAACGGTCCACACTGATTATGAGGAGTATGGACACACCCTCCAGGACAAACAGCCAGTACAGCATGATGGACGCTCGGCAGAACCCGCTTCCAAAGCTCCAGTCAGCAGTGGCCACAGTGACAGCAGTGAAGGGCATGCAGAGCAGAGAGAGCATTATATCCGAAAAGGCCAACGTGGCGAGGAGGAGATTGATAGCGGAACGCATTGCAGGTTTCTGGTAAACTATCAGACACACTATCGCATTGCCAAGGAAACCAATAGTAATCATGAAGATCATTATGGCTGCCAGGGTCACACGCAGAGTGACCGATATGACAGGAGTCGCGGCTTCAGACGGGAGACTTTCCACTGCTTCCTCCACTTTGTCCGCCTCCATGAAGGCACAGTCCTCCAGCAGGCTTTCGTTACAGAAAGCCATGGCAGCTACTGTCAGCGGATATCAGCCCATAAAAAGATACATGTTTGATTATTGTTGTGGTCTACACATCAAGTTGTCTTCCAGCAGTTGATCTTCCATGGCAATATCTAAGATGGAAAGACAAAAACATCCACATTCAGCATTTTATAAAGTATTTAGTGGAACACAAATAAGTACACTAACAGTCAAAATACACAAAACTTTATACCTGATAAGGTGTGCCATCCATGATTTTAATGAATGTGAACAGTGCAATACATTATGTGCTGTCTGTCCCTTAAAAAGCTGCTGTAAACATGTGTGTCTCATTAGATAATCAGAGAGTTCAGCTGCTCCGTGATCTATTACTCAGTGATAATTGTAAATTTGAAACAGTGAGAGGAGGAATGACGTCCCCATGATGCTGACAGAGTTATATAACCCATGGGACCAACCCACAGACACACCATATCGAGAGATATAGTCACACAGGACAGAGACTGAGGTTGATGATTAACAGCTGGGCTGCACAGATTCACATGGGCGCATATACAAACATTCACACCTCCTACCCGCCAACACACACAGCATGTGTAATGTTTCACACGTGAATAGAAATACACACATTTACACAACACGAGTATAGTACACACCCGTGACACAGTTGTCTGTCTTCCATTGACTTTGCTGAAGCTCATTCTTGGGCCTCAGACTCTGATGCAACTTTGATAAAACAGAGAGGCATCCTCACACACACACAGGACATGTCTGTTGCTATGGTTTCCACCTCCTGCTCCTGCTGGTGGGACAGTGCAGACGTTAACGATCTGTTGAGGTCATTCTGGCCTTCAGGTCTCGGGTGTGGTCCTCTCAGGTGGACTGGCACTGGGAGATAAGAAGACCAGTTAAGGGTCATAACCTGTGTGTTTGTGACTTGTCAGAGTAGTAAATGTTACTGATAACATGATCAATGGATTAGTCCAGTAGCTGACACTGAGCCAGCATGTACAATTGTGTATTGTATTATTTACATCTGTGTTTTTGCTGCTGTGATATGTCAAAATGTATTCTGTGATGGATTCAGTGACTGTGAGTCTTTGTCACTGTCAGATGTTCACATTAACCTACACTAAACAAACAGGTAAAAGGAAATCATCTGATTGTAGCTACATTGTTGCACAAAACCCCTTTTAGGCCACTGCATAGTGTTGCTGGTTGTTGCCATGGCAACAAGGTCACCAGTTCCAAGGCAACAAGCATCCTGTAATCTGTCATGACTAAATGTTTTCTGTGTCACCAAGACTTTCTTGGGTCTTAGCAATTAAACTCAGAGAATTGTTTTTGTGAAACGGAGCAAAGATGTTTCACTGTCAGACAGTGATGGTTGATAAACACAAGAGAATTCATGTCTGCGCTTTTGTTTCATGACATTATCTTTTGGTATGATCAATAAATCAATAAAGGCATTTATTAAGTCAAATGTAGGAAATAAATCAGCTGGATAGAGAATAAACAAAATGAGAACAAAGGCTTGAGGAGGCGAATGGTTCATGTCGCCTACATGAGAATGAAACTAAACTAACAGGCAATAAAATGCTTTAAACTTTAACACATCCACCTTTAGAAATGATGAGGTGCAGATTATGTGAGGTAGACAGTGAGCTGACTTACCCTGCAGGGGGCTCCTAGCTGCTTAGTTAAAAAAAACAGGTGGTTTTACTCTGCTGCTCTGCTCAAATGGCTGATAAGACACTGACAATGTAAAAAAAACGAGAAATATTACAGCAGGAGAATATCTAAAAAAAAAAGGAATCTTATGAGGATCAACTGAAATAGGCCTCTCTCTCCATTTGGTCCTTTTCATGATAAACTGGATGAGAAACAGTATCCAGATGTTTATGTAGAAATACCCGCTCTGGATGCAGGCTGATATGTTGTGATACCATAACCTATTTCCCGCTGTATTGATGATCCATCGCTTACACCCAGCCTCCACCACTGAGCCTGTACAGCGTGTTCTCCCGTTTCCATAAGAGTCTGTTTCTCTCCCGCACCTGTCTGTCAATCTCAGGCTTCTCTGTCAACCTGCCTGCACCACTGCTAGAGGACAACAAGTCCATGCAAAGATAAAATACATACATACATTACAGGCAGCAAAGATAAAATACATTTTTTCCTGAGCAGGGAGTGAGGGATTAAAGCAATAAAGCAACGTATCTTTGAGCATTGAGCAGACAGAAACAGTCCTACCTTTCCGTTACATTTAATATCAGCTTTCATGTCCCTCGTCGAGCCTGTCTGCTCAGTGATCGTGTTTCTCATCCTGTGCATGTCGAGCTTTTCCTAAAATATCCCACTTTGAACATTTCACTGCCGTATCGATCGCCATCGTGCCGCCTGCGGATGATGCTGACGCCAGAAGAGCAGGTGGTCGCTGATTTAAAGGAGCAATGCACAAAATACGTTTATTTAGAAGCTGAGATATTTTAAAAAGGCTGCGGTGCTCCCAGAAGGCTACTGTTGTAATTCTACCTGTATTGCTTAATAATGAGTAAATGGTATGCAATGTGATGGTACGCTTTTTTATGCCAAGATGCCAAAATATCTGCATTGTAAAAACTCATAGCTACTGCGCAACTGCCCACACCTCACTATCAAATCTGATTTCCAAACAAACTACCTAACACAGCCACTAGAAAGCGAATAATAATAATAATAATAATAATAATAATAATATGATAATAATTGTAATAATTGTAATAATAACCTAAATGGTTTACTTATTGCAGCCCATAGACGACTGAATTTCAGATTTTCCATACATCCGTAAGAATAACATATCATATTTCATTAATCCAATATCTCACAATGAAAATATTTCAATGTTGTTCAAGATTATTTTGGGAACCTCTTGCACTGTAAACATTCAGAAACGTGCATTCATTATTCTGTCCAGGAGATGGCAGCATTGCACCACGCATACATTTGCCCTTTAGTTTTTGTATTGTAGACATTTTTGTGTTGGTATGTTTAGGTTTTTATAGGTATAAATAGTTTTTTCATTCAGATGTATTTAAAGTTGCAGCACCTGTTTTTTAACAGCAACAGATTTGACTTAATATATTGGTAAAATGATACTGTATTACGGAGAGGAGATATATCATTTATCAGTGATAGTCACAGTGATAGTGGGTTCACATGTGCAGAATAACATCTACAGACACAGTAAATTGTAATTAATTTAGATTTTATATAAGAAAACTGTTTATTCCAATCCTCACACACACACACACGGTTACATTCACACACTTAGCATTCAGGCAGAGACTCTTTTCATGGGCATGCTTGTCTAAATTGGCATCGTGCCCATGTGTTGAACATGCCCATCAAACGAGTTCCACTCCACTGGTCTGGCACATGCATGCTCATCACGTTCAGTGGCACCCACACAACAAGCTTGCTAGTGAGAGAATTCATTTCCCTGTCCATTATTCCACAGATGTTTGCTTTAATTTCTTCCTGATGGAGAGACTTTGGTACTCCATCATTCACCAAAAAAGCAAACACAGCCAGGCGAAGTGAAAAAAATGTTCAGAGGAGAGGAGAAAACCCACACAAGTAACAATATTGGAGTCTTGTACAGACAATGTTTGTGTGGAATACATTCACACAGAAATAAATCAACATTACAGCCACCTAATATGTACTTTTTGGGTCTTTTATTCATGCCTCTGACTCCAGGAAAGAATCGTGTGTCATGAGTTTTCACACAGAGTAAGCCACTGTGTGTTAATCAGTGTTAGACTTTAGTGGTTAACCAATTTCCGCGAAGTGAAAATAATTAACACCAAACAGTGGGGGCTGATAATGTGCAGCCCACAGTAAAATAGTTGTACAATAAAACTTCGGCTTCTGCTAAATAATTCTATGAATATGTGCAGGCTTGCATCTGTTGTAAGGCACAAACAACAAGCATTGAAGAGAGGATTATCATGCAATAATTGCTTTGTGTAAAGTACCTCTGAACAAGGCTTTAAGAGCAATTATGAGCAATTATATTAGCAGTATTTATTGGAGGCGGTAATAACATCCTTAGTGTGTAAGTGCAAACATTCCCTGTTTCAGTGATGCAAGAAGCATTACTCCAGTGATGAATAATGCTAAATTTAAGTATCCATATATACACGAGCACTGACTACACATTTTGCTGTCAGTACAGACGTACTTCATGTGAGCTGTTGATTGAGGGGTTTTGGGCTCAAGTTACTGTAACATCATCAGCTTGTACCTCCAGCATTAATATTCAGAGAAGACACCTAGTGTTGTGTCATGACAAAACCTTTTAAAAGGCTTTTTATCCCCCAATTCCACCCTTATCTCCCATCTTTACATCGCTAAGCTTTGAGGGGATCACACTGAAATCCTGCAGGCTTAGATTTTGCCTCCATTTTTTATCAGAGAACTTTTGCAGCTTGGTGTGAATACATCATATTAAGAGGCATCAGCAGATGGTTACAGTGAGCCGTGGTCGTACTTTTCCACCTCTGTGTAGCATTACTGTGGTAGCTGAGAGAATGCAGGGTTTTTTTTCCTTTGCATTAACAGCATGTGTTCAACATGTAGACTGTGATTGGTTTTCATGACAGAATGTGGTATTTCAGCTGTTTTACATTCAAGTGACTTGATGCTCACCAGCTCAGTACAGCACTCCTCCATAGTGAGTAATAATAAGTCAATGAATGTCAATAAGAACTTTTCAGTGTTATCATTGTCTGGAGAAAATATTGTTTCAACTTGTCTGAAGCTGAGTAAGCATGCATTCTTGAGTTCGCCCAAATGAATTGGACAGGGTTTTATCGGCCCAATAACAGCACAATCTTCTCAGATTTTCCAGGAAGTCAAAGATAACAAAAACAAAAAAAAACTGACTTTAACAAGGTTTTTACAACCAAGCCTTTTGACAAATTGGTACTTTTGTGTCTAATATATCCGCTTCCCTAGGTACTGGCATCATAAGCAGGTAAGGTACCATCAGCATGCCCTCCTCATATGTACTCGTCTGCCTTCAGTCTATTAAGGGATTAATAAATTGACCTAGAGTGACGACGGTTGTATCGGATAATGTGTAAAGACCCATTCATACAGGCAGACTGCTATTTATAACTCACAAGGCCAGACTTTCCTTCCCTTTAGATCTTGCCAATGAACAGTGAAAACTCTCTCTCTCTCTCTCTCACACACACACACACACTCACACACACACACACACACACACACACACACACACACACACACACACACACACACACACACACAAACACACACACACTCACCTTGCACATTTTTTGACATATTTGTGTGCCTGAATGCTTTAAAGGTAAGATTTATTTAGTATTGGCATTTTTGTTCCTACAGAAAGAACAGAAATCTATAAAAAAAAAAAGATTTAATCAAGAATGACATAAAGAGTGATAGAGTTTCCATAAATATCTTCCCCCATTTTTTTTCAGTGTTGATGTGGAAGCTTTTGGAATATATCCAGTAAAAAACACATACAAACTGTAATCAAACGTGTAACATTCGCAGTAATGCATTAACTTCCAGGTTTGTGTTTACTCCTCAGTGTTCTCTCTCAGGTTTGTCAGCAGACCTTTGACCTCCCTTTAACTTTCACTACAACCACCGCTTGACCATGACCCATCAGCTTTATTATCAATAAGATATTTGATTTGAAACATCAGCTCATGTATGTGTGTGTGTGTGTGTGTGTGTGTGTGTGTGTGTGTGTGTGTGTGCGTCATGTTTCAGAGACAGAGAGAAGATTGTTTTTCAGAGCCAATGTCCTGAGCTTCTCGCCGCCTATCTGCCAAACACATCATCTGTGGCAAAAGATCCTGTGCCTCGTGTCACTCCATCTCGCTGTCACCTTGGCAACCGCTGCCGAGGTGAACTGCCAGCTGGGATAGCCGACCTCTGCTGGCTGCGTTCCACAGAGCTGCAGTCCATATCACTGCCACAGGATGTATGTGACTGGACTGATGTGCAATACATCACACAGAAATGTAGAGGCAAACTGCAACAGCAGACCTATGTGGTGAGTTCAGTCAGTTTCAACAGGGTTAACACAACTAGGAGGCATAAAAACTGGGATATGCTGTTGTGACTGTTTTGATATAAATGGTGATAACTTAATGATGCTGCTGCAAATAATGATTCTTTTTTTTTTTGGATTAATGTTTTTGTCTAAGTACTGTCCAAAAAGAGAGACAATGCCGGTCATAATTTCAAAATGCATAGCCTGTTGCATTCGAGCACAGTCCAAAACTGAAATATATTCCCTTTCTTATCATATATGGCAAAGAAAAACAATCAAATCCTCAAATTTTTTGCTAATCAAAGGTATCTGTCAATTAACTGGTTGATTTCTCATCTTGATTAATCAATAGTCATTTTAGGTGTTAGCAAGAAAGCCCTTCAGGAAAAATAGCAGGAAGCCTTTAATTTTATGCCTTTGTAACTTCTTTATATAATTCATGGGATAATGTCTTTGTAGTGGCTTTGATTCTCATGAAAGACCATTTTAATTGTCGTTTTGGTTTATTTGACAATATCTGCAGCAGATAAGACTGCATGTTTAATGTTTTACTGTAGAGGTGTGTGTGTGTGTGTGTGTGTGTGTGTGTGTGTGTGTGTGTGTGTGTGTGTGTGTGTGTGTGTGTGTGTAATAATGATGGCCATCTCAGATATCTTGTCAAATTTATTAAATAATTAGTCTATCCATGAAAATAAACACAGTGGAAAAAATAAATAGTACAAATCATCACACAAGAATACACACAGCAGACTTACTCGTATATAAACTTAAGGGAATGTTTGCGCATTTTAAAAAAAAGTTTCCTGTGAAGGAAAACACAATACTGGAGTTATTTCGAGTCGCTCTTTGACCACCATAAACTGTGTAACAACATACATCCACTGACACACAACACAAAAGTGAGAAACACGTTTGAAGGAAGATAAATTATTGCTCATTAGAAACAACTTGAATAAAGCGCATTAAATCAATGTCTTTCATTTTAAAGAAGAGGAGTCTACAGCCCAGTCTAGCCTGTGGGACATCCAAACCTGCAGAGACATTTTATTTTTAACACTACACAGATACCGAAATAACGTTTTCTTTCTCTGAACTTCTTGGCATCAAATTGACAAAATCTTCATTCTGTATAGGCTTTTAAAAAGATTTGTTCAGGCTGTTCATTTTCGTGGCCCAAAGGTTGAATCATAGTGCAGAAAAACGCGACGATGCATAAAAGTAAACATGTATCCTGCTTTGAAATGAATACACACTGGATAACAATATTATTGTGGGTCAAAGAACACGGGGAGCTGTAAGAAAAGTTGATCAATTAACCCATCATTTAGGGAAACATGAAATATTTTCTCTAAAAAGTTACTCAAACACTTCACGTTGTTCAGATTGCGTGTCCGCCGTTGATTTCACGTGTCGCTGTACATCCTCTTGCAGTCTATGGAGGGGGACGGTGTGTCAGGACCCATGCTGCCCACCTGTGAATATGCGTCCTCCGGGGTGCGTGGCAGTCCAGG